CGGAGGAGGCCGACCCTGTGAGATCTAATGGGTCTGTGGGAGGTAATTGGCACCAGGCGGTCTCTCAAGTACCCAGTACCCTTTAACAGGAATCCAGCACACTTGTAAATCTAGATCCACAGGTAAGATGCACACCATTCTGAAAAGGAACTCAGCCAATAAAAGGAAGGTACTCACTTTGAAACATCATTATTCATGAACAAGATTTGCAACAAAGGCCCATCAAGTCTACAGTCATCCACTGTTAGTCCACTAAAAAGAAAAGAAAAACATACAGTATGAAAGTAGTTTCCTGACCCTTATGGAATAACTTTAATGTCAATGACTTAGATGTCTTTCACCTTCTGTTTGTACCTTCTGTTATTTTTACACTACGAAGACAGTTTTGAGAGCTTGGAGAGAGATCAGATCTGGTTTCCTCCCTCCATCTCTCATATAAATCTCTTCTCCATGCATTTCACAGCCTTGACCAACAATCACAAATCTACAGAAGACCTTCTGCTCGGCCAAAACACTTGCAAATAATTGAGAGGGTGAAACCTACCTGGGGCGAGCCAGGTTGTTCAGTTTTCTTCGGAGTTCCTGATGTGAAAATGGTTAAGGAATTGCAAGGCAAGATAACAAGGAATGAAGCCAGGAAAATCCCCGTGCAGCTACCTCTCTCCATTCCTCCTTCATTCTTATTTTATCTCTTTTTTTTTTTTTTTTGCCTATGACCCAAGGCAGAGAAAATATGTAATTCCTCACCTTTCTGGCCTTCAAAAAGAATTTAAATCCAATAAACCTAAACCTAATTTGAAGACCTGGTTCTGGCTACTTGCCCAGATCTTGCCACACAAACTTGGGATTACTTGTTTATTATTATTATTATTATTGGGGTTGTTTTTAAAAAAAATATTTTATTTCCATTTTTGTAACATACAATCACATGTATACTATACATAGCCAATATCCTATAGTATTAAATAATAATTACATCAGTTCCTCTTGTCAACAATGCCCATAAAAATAAAAACCCATTATTAGCTCTTCTGCTCTCCATACACCTCTTTCTTCTACCTCTCTCCAACTTCCTTTCTTCCCTCCATCATCCTTTCCTACTCTACTTCCTCTTCCTTTCTACTGCTCCCCCCTCTCCAATCCCCTCCTCCTTATCCTTCTCATCTTCCCCCCNTCGAGATCAGGCTGCTACCATAGGTGGGGTGAATTCCCATCACATGCTCCAGCTTCTGCCGACCCAGCAGTTCAAAAGCACACAATCGCAAGTGGATGAACGGGTACCACTTTGGTGGGTAACTTAATGGGAGTTTGAAAAGAGCCCCCAACTGCAACTTCTGGGCAATAGTGATGTCACTGCCCAATCCTTTCAACCTGGAAATACTTACAACAGGACTTTAGTAGTAGGAGTAGAAGTAGTAGCAGCAGCAGCAGCAGCAATACTAATAAATTTGGGAAAGATAAGTATACATTGTTGGTACAGTCCTAAAAAAAATGCATACAAGATTAGCTTTACCGTCATCTACTGAAAATATCCACATAATTTATTTTATTTTAAGAAACTTAAAGAGAGCTGAGCTTTTGTTTTTGCATGCTTAACAAATGCAACTAGAAACAGGTTCTTAAAAATACACACATTTAATGTTGAATTTGAATTCTAGAAAACAGTTCCAGCAATACAAACATGTCAACCACCATGACAAAAAATGAAAACACACATCCACAATAAAACCGATAGTTTATCACATTCTCTCCCCTACCAGATTCCAATAGTGATCTTGCATGGAAGCCCTACTGCAAATACTGCTGGTGTCCAATGTGAATTACAAAAATTGCAGAAAAAGAAAATTTAAAAACTGGTTGTGAATGATAACAAAACTACATTTTGCATTATTTCAAAAGACCAACATTTAAAAAGTAACCTGTTCTTATGAAAATATTGTAGCTATAGGCAAGGCAACTTAATAACTGAGATTGAGTAAATGGAAGAGACCCACATTTTTAGTGAAGGCAAGCGGAAGTAAATTTTAATTTTCACCTTTGTTCAACTAAATTTTCTGAAAAACCACAAGCATTGGGCAATGCCTTTTATCTATTCTTCCTTTGGCTCTGTAAAAGGTGATATTTTTCCTTGATAATCCTAACAGTATTTTTGTTTTTCAAATCATATAAATAAGAGCAGAGCAGTATTTCATCAGACAACTTTTCCCCCAATTATTTAACTTTTGTGTGACAATTCATTTTGTTGGCAACCCATGTCTAATAATTATCTCTAATTAAAGGAAGAAGCTTCAAAGTAAAAAGTTTTACTCTTTGGTTTAAAAAAAATATCAAAAATTCAGGTAAAGGAAAGCCACTACCGTGTTTTCCCGAAAATAAGACGGTCTTATTTTCTTTTGACCCCCAAAATATTGAGTGGATCTTATTATCAGGGGGGGGCTTATTGTTGTGGGGTTGCCGGGTGGCTGCTCTCCTGTGAGCGGGCACCCGAAGACCCAGGCACAGCCTCAGGGGCAAACGGCTGTGTTGCGCTGTCGCAGCAGCAGCGCAACATGCCAGCCATGAGGTGACCACGCTCAAGAGTGGCCACCCGGCAACCCCCCTTTCCAGCCGGGAAGAACGCCACTCACGAACCCAGTGATATCCCAAAGGTGCTAAGCCACGTGGTGCTCTGCCCTCCCCCCCAGCTCCCACGGTTTGACGCATTCGGGATACCCTTAGGTCAGTGCATGGTGCACTGCCTAACTGGAAAGGGAGGTTGCACAAGCGCCTGTTCCGTCCCCAGCTGGTGTCCCTCCCAACCTCACCATGCCCTGTTCCAGCTCTCCCTGAAGGGCTAGTGTGCCGCCGTGGCAGCAGTGCTCCGAGCATAACCTATTCTCCCGCTTCCAAACTCCGGAGATCCGCAGCCGAGTCTTTCGGCAGCGGCCACTCTGGGAGTACGCTCTATGATTGTGAGCTGGCTGAGATAGAGCGTACAACCATAGAGCATATTCCCAGAGTGGCAACTTCTGGAAGACTTGGCAGAAAAAGCCATGCGGCAGTGGTGGTGGGCAACGGCAACGGAGATTCCCTGGCTCTGCAGGGAGAGTTAGGCAAGGGCATCATGAGGCTGGGAGGTGCGCGAGCGAGCAGAAAGGCCGCTTGCACAACCCCTCTCCAGCCATGCAGAGCTCCATTCACTGACCTAGGGGCATTCCGAAGGCGCCAAGCTGCGGGAGCTGGAGGGTGGCGAACAGGCGCTCACACGGCTTGACGATACCCCTAGGTCAGTGAATGGCGCTGTGCCTGGCTGGAAAGAGGGGTAGCCAGGCAGCTGCTCGTGAGTGTGGTCACCTCATGACTGCTGTGTAGTGCTGCTGCGATAGCGCAACACAGCCGTTCGACCCTGAGGCTGTGCCTGGCTCTTTGGGAGCCCGCTCGCAAGACAGCAACCGCCTGGCAACCCCCCTCTCCAGTTGGGCACAGCACTGCTCACCGACCTAGCGGTATCCCAAAGGCGCCAAGCAGCGCGAACCTTTGCCCCACCCCACATTCCTGCAGCTTGGTGCCTTCAAGATACTGCTAGGTCGGTGGGTGGCGCTCTGCCTGGCTGGAGGGGGGGGGTTGTCCAGGGGGCTTATTTTCGAGGGTGTACATTTTTGCCCACCCGAAAAATGTGGCATAGCCTTATTATCAGGACATGTTGTATTTTCGGGGAAACATGGTAAGATAAAAGTAAACGAGTCACTGTGGATTTTACTCCACTAGTAGTTGCCGATTTTATCTACCTAAATCCACCTAATCCCATTTTTTTAAAAAACCTTGCTATTTTACAAGTAAAATAGTTACCCATTTACATTTGATTCATTTCTGATAACAGAAGAGGTAATTTTGTAATAAAATCAGTATCGTTACTTTAAATGGCAACATACTTAACCCTGTGTCATTAAATCTTTTCTTCCAACTATACTTATCATCACACCCAAGAGGATTGTTAATGTGAGTCCTTTGTTCTTTTGTAACTTGTAAATGATTTTACAATCAACATGTCACAAATTATTAGAATTTTTTTTTTATACAGAGCTCATGCTCAAATGTTCAAGTCTATGCCTCAATCAGCTAGGGTTCCCCACGCCAACATGAACTGATGCTGCAAGGTTATGCACAACCAGACTGCTTCATGTACAGTGCAATACTATACATGTTTAGAATTCCTTCTGAGTTGAATGTAAAGGAGTTGAGAACTGCAATGACAAAAACTTGGCCTGGTGTAACTGCACTGTTTCCAGGTATCTTTAGCAAGAAAAACTAGAGCATGTACTTTTAATCTCTCCCCCTTCACTTAGATCTAATTTAATTAGAGGCAATTATAATAGGCCTTGGTTTCAGGTTTCATGTAATTGATATCTTTTTTAAAAAAGAGTGGGCATTTGCGCAGGAGAGGGATAATGTGAACCTGAGAGGCACTCCAAAATCACTGGGCTCCCATGTGTAGAACTGCAGCCTGGATTATTTTCTAAAAGCATTATGACATTAATGACTGCACTTACTGCCAGAATACCCAGCACTCATTTGACACATATTCTATACTATGTGGCAAACAACAGCACCCAATATAGCCTGAGAAGAAATGCTGCTGTGTAAATACTGCAACTATTCCTGATAAAAGACATTATGGGATATATAGTCAAAAGCTGCCCAATCCCATAATTTATATTGCATAGGTCACAATCACACATATATACACATGCACACGTATGTGTATATATACACATGCAAAGAATATATTAAAAAGACAACAAAGTCTAGTCACAGAGCAATTTACAAGCTCAATATATATTTTATACACTTTGCTTGAAAGATTTTAATATTTTACAGTCCTCAGCAGGAAGTATATACACTGCACTGTATGAAAATCTAGGGTTGTCAAAGTAGAAATAGTCTTTTGCAAACTTCTGGATAAGAAAAGATCAAGTATCTTTTTCAAAATTTGTCCTACCTACAGAAAATAGTCCCTACTCACAAAAAACATCCATGGAATGTACACTAGAGACAAGGCTTTTGTTGACTTGTGAATATTTTAAAGCAAATGAAATCCCAGATTCCCAACCCAACACAGTCTAGATCCTCATTTTAAACACATTAAGAATCTAGCCTTATTTTTTTAGTCAATAGGCCTCTTATGTGATAAAAAATTGTTCTGTTCAAGAAGTGTTAAGGCTAACTTGGTTTTTAATTTTTACAAATATCCATTTAGGCTCCCTTCTGCACTCCAATGTATAAACTCTGCCTATAAATAGATAAAGGGCAGTGCAGGAAATAATATTCAGCACTATAGTCAGGAAGCAGTTGCTCCTTCCCATTCCACAAGATACTGTACTTTCCCGTCAAGTGTAACCCGACGTGCCAAAACACGGTATTTTTCACCACAAGCTATCCTACCTGCAGCACCAAAGTAACTGGTAATAGAGTTCTTGAGATGATTAAGCTGCAACTCCTGATCTGCCAAATTATTCAGAATCTCTGTATTGAGTTCATCATATTGATAGTCATCTTTGCCTTCATCTTCTTTTACAATTTCTGGGTTCTGAATCTGGAGTGCTTTTCGTGGAAGACGTCCTCTTCTCCTTAAGTGGGGTATCGTGGATGGCCAGGTTCTTCCTGTTCGTGTCCTTTTTCTAGAATCAGATAAACTGCAAAGCACATACAATATTAATTTAAAAATTTAGAATATGTTATACCACAACAAAATCTACTCTACTCTTAATATCTTCGTTAGATACAGTAAAGTTCAATTAAATGCTGAATCAAATGGAGACAAAACTTAAACTAGCAGTATGATTTTGGTGAGATTTATGGCCACATTTCATTCATGGATTGTTGGAGACAATTTAGCTCTCAGGATGTGGGGGGCTATGTTTCATATGGACACATTATGTATGTTTTATGTTTTACAACACTATATATACTCAAGTAATTTTTCTGGAGCATTTGTTTTATATTTGCACCACAACTGATAGGAGCTAACTTGATTCTTGCTTTCCGTTAAGATAATTCTACTGCACAGCAAACAATGTTATTTAAGACATGACACATTCAGCCATTATTACTGGAAGCCAGAGAGAACCAATGCATAATTTAATAATTTAGCCTGTCCATTTTTAAACTGATTTTTGCTCCTAAATTTGTCAAGGATTTCTAAAATAAGGAAAAGCAGATTCCTTGTAAGCTTGCCAAGAACATGGGTTTTCTTCCAGTGCATCTCATAAATGCAACCGCTTGTAAAATCTATCAGCGGAAATGATTTATATGATCATTTGGAAGGAAGTATGGAAGGAAGTAAAAGATCATTTGGAAGGAAGTAAAAGAGAAGGGAGTCTCAATCTTCTTTGACAAATTGGAGGCTCTCGCTAACTAGGATTAGGATTAGGATTAATTTCATTTATATGCTGCCCTTTTCCCTGAAGGGGACTCAGGGCGGCTCACAACTCAGTCAAGGGAATAAAAACAGGGGATAAAAACAAACAAACAATACACAATTTAAAAACACACAACAACCATACCATTCGAGAAGGGGGGGCGGTTGCCCTTTAGCCCCAGGCCTGCCGGAATAGCCAGGTTTTGAGGCTTTGCGGAAGGCCTGGAGGGTGGTAAGGGTTCGAATCTCCACGGGGAGTTTGTTCCAGAGGGTCGGAGCGGCCACAGAG